GGCCGCCTCCTCGCGAGGGGCAAGAGAGCATACAGCAGCTCCTGGAACACAACAGGCTGCCTGAGAGGGTTCAGGTCTGCCACATCCGGCGCGGGAAGAAGCATCAGCTTGCTGCGGTGCTGCTGTGGTCGACCGCTGGAGTCCCGCCAGAACATGCGCAAGAAAGCAAGGCAAAGGAATATGCACTCACGAATCGTTTCTTGATTGTTTTTTCACATGGTAACAGTACCGATATAGGACACATGTTTGGCCTGCACTACAGGATGTGCTTCAGGTGAGATGAGCGCAAATCCAAAGCCCTAGACCCTATAGCATAGACTTCACTGGTTCGAGGCAGTGATTTTGATTATGCTGGTATATTTGGATAACACCAACGGGTTTGCTGCGGGTTGAGTAAACCAGAAACCTCGAGCCGCGAGCCATTGACTCTAATTCACTAATCCTACGCGTTTATAAGCAGTAAATCGCCAAACTTGAACAGTTGACCGCAGGCGAGGTCTGACAAAGGCAGATTGCAAGGGACGAACTATAATTGGAAGCTACAAAGCCTATTCGCTAGTCTGAAAGCCCCAAAATTTAAAGCACAAGCTTTAGTTTCCTGCGCTTCGGTGCTCTTGTGCTGCGATGAGTTGGTTGAATGAATATGATTACTGGGCTTCTTTGGTCAGTGTGTAAGTGAAAGATGAATTTGTCTCTATAATTGTATGCAAAGTTTTTTGTGTGTGCTTTTGTTACCTGCAGATGCCAGGTAAATGTACTGGCTTACGATTACTCAGGCTACGGGTGGAGCGACGGCAAGGCGACTGAAGCTGCTCTCTACAAAGACATAAACGCAGTCTACTCGTTTGCTGTTAAGGAACTAAATGTGCCACCGAAGAACATCATTCTTGTAAACTCTTTATCCTAAACCTAGCCATGAGCGCTGAGCGGAGCAGATATCATAAGCACTGAGTGCAACAGAAAGACCACGAGAATTAGGGGCTGCTGAGTACACAGCCCTTCAGAAGAGGACACTTTTGGTGACTGAAAACGTCTAAGTATATTTCTCGGGTGGTACTTTTGTTTGGTGAGTGCATGCACGGTACATCTGTTGTATTTTGTTTGTTTGTTCAACCAGTATGGGCACAGTGTTGGCTCTGGGCCGTGTTGCGACTTCGTGGCGAAGAGAAAGCAGAAGGGGCTGGGAGGAGTTATTCTTCACTCGTCAATAGCTTCGGGTAACAGTAAAGTCATGGTGGTGTATGATTCAGAGCTGAGGGTCTAGGACTGAGGGATTTAGATTTATGCTAAAGAGTACTGCTTAGCGCACGCAACCCATAGCTTAGGGCTCGCATTTTTGGCTCATATTCCCAACCTTTGGTCTGAAGGATTATGCTTAAGAATACCGTTGTACAACCCTTTGCTTCGGGCTCTGGAGTTTAGGGCTAACGGCTTGACGTTTTGTATAGGTCTGCGTCTCTTCATTCACAACATCGAGAAGGCTCCTTGGTTCGACGCATTCCAAAATGCAGAGAAACTGAAAAAGGTTTACGACGTGCCCATGCTGCTCATTCATGGTCGATTAGACAGACAGGTCAGATCAGCAGCGTCAATTCCAGCAGCAGAACTAGCAGCAGCAGCAGCAGGCATTGTTGTAGTTTTAGGCTGCTGCTGCTCCAGCTGCTGCAAAAACAGAAGCAAGAATCTCCCTCTGAACTGCTGCCGCTACTGCGGCATCAAAACGTGCACCCTTTGTAACTTCCCGTTGTTGCTGCTAGCTGATATCTAAGGTACCACGGTGCCCCAAGCGGCACGCTGCCCACAAGCATCCTTTCCAAATGGCTTCACTTTTCATAGTTCTAATTTTACAGTCGTTGGTCTTAATTGGAATTGTTTTCGCTGCAGGTGCCGTTCTCTCATTCTTTGAAGCTAGAAGCAGCCTGCCGCGAGGCGGACGCGCGCTACGCCAACCTGCAGGAGAGTCCCCACCACCGCTGCTTACTGAGAGCGCCCCTACTTTCTTCCAAAGCAGATGGGCCCCCCAAGGGACCCCCAAAGAGAGACAAAGAGATGCAGAAAAACCGCGTGCAGACATGGTGGATACCTAACGCGGATCACAACGATGTTGAACACAGAACAGGGGTAAGCGCAAAACAGCAAAACGTAAACTGTAGACCCTTGCTAAGAAGAAGCCCGAGGGCGACTGTACAGAGTTGTGATCGTAGTGACCGCTGTTTCGGTGTGGGCGGATATATTGGAATTGCGGGTCACGTCGACTGCCAGGTTGCGTCTTTCAGTTAGAGGTCGAGAGCTTAGTACCTAGGAAGTTCTGTCAGAGCTTCGGTGTAGGGCTTTCGGCTAATGGTTTCGGGCTGTGGCTGCTCAGGACGAATACTACCAGCGTATCTCTGCCTTTCTTAAGTTCTGCGCTAAGTGGAATGAGCAGGAGCCAGCCACACCACCAAACGCTTAGTTCAATGGAGCGTCGGCTTTGGGGTTAGGCGTTCAGGTTTTACGTTTTAGGGTTTATGATTTAGGTCTTTGACGGCAGCACTTGCTTTTTTTCACAGTTGTACACTGCTGCCCTTTTGTTCTTTTCCTTTGGAGAATTTCTGTTCCTAGAAATAAAAGACTGCTTTTATTTCGTGTACTAAGGTGGGCGCTCACCTCAAATCACGGTGTATGTACACTGCAGCAGCCTTGTATTGGGGAGGCTGCACTAACACGGTGCAGGCTCTGACCCATAACCCTGCGACTAAACATACGCCAACCAAGGCCCCTACGTGGGACAGTGCAATGTAGCTTTGTTTCCGTGTATAGGGGCCTCTTTATGCATGCGGTGACCGCGTTCTGTGCGGAGCAGTCACCGCACAGGTCGCAGCGAATTCACGCAGGGCGTTTTCCTTTCCGCTTTGGAGCGCTGAACTGTGGCGCTCCCGAGCCTCTGGTATGGGAAGAGGACAGAGGTAGACCGAAACTAATTTTCAAGGAATTTGCTGACTTAAGCCGCATGCTACTGACCATATCGTGTACGATAGTTTATCGGTTCACTCCGAGCTCTGCATGTTTCTGTGGAGCGCATGGCGCACCGCGGCGTCACTCCAGTGCGGTAGGAGGCCAAATTCAGCAAGTCAACTTGCACCTGAATTTTTTGTGAAAATTCATACTGAGCCAGTAGTTGCTGTCCATTAACTGGGACGTAAGTAGCCCCGAGCTGCCTTTCGTACGCCAGGGAAGAGGTAGACGTCTGAGCACCCCGTCTGGAATCCGTCGAAGTCCGCAAACACCATGCTGTTGGTGTGATTGAGAATACTGCTGTTTACCACTAGTGCCTCCCACTGGCCCACTGGTAAAAGGGCTTACTTGACGTTCGAACGGCTTAGTCGCCTAAACTGCGACTAAGCATGGACAGCAGAGGAATCCTTGAATAGTCTCCTAACCGACAGACCCCTCCTTGCGGGTTAGTGGGAGTGAGGGTGGGGTCACTCATAAGCGCACTAAATGGCTGCCCCAGCAGCATCTGTTTGGCAGAATAGGGGCCCATGTGGCCTGCGCCTAACGTGGTTTAGTGCGTGCGCTCCTCTAAGAGGACGACGACTTAACAAGACTAAGAGACCAGTAACGGGCAACTTTCAACATTATGCGCTGCTTAAACTGCGCTTAATGGCTCTCCGTGATATCTACGATGGTCCTTAACTTGAAGCAATACCACTACCTATAACGAGACAATCGGGTACTTCTTAAGCCTAAATTCCGATGCGAATGTGGAAGAGAGAAGCAAAAAGTTATCATGCGAGTCAAAGCAAGCTTGGTAGACACAAAACGAAAACAAAAGGAACAACACAATAAACGATAAGTAGTGCCTGCTGTTGCTCTCGCAGGGACTTCTGGTTTTGGGTATGGTCACCAAAGGGCTCATAAGGGAACTCCAAGTAAAGAGAAGTCGTCTGAGACCACAAGTTACGCTAAACAAAGAACGTAACAAGTTCCTGTGGCAAACTGGCCCAGCTGGCGCAGCTTTCCCTAGCTTTCGTCCCTCTACTTAGAGTTACACTTCAAGTCGAAACTCAGTGTCATAGCACCATAAAAATTACGCTAAAGTTCTTCCGCGGAGCACTGCAGCGCAAGCAGAAGAATATTGCAGTTCAAGGTGCCCTTAAAGCGAAAGTTAGATGAATAGACTAACAACCAGGTAATAGAAGCTGCCTTCTGCGTTTCCAAAATCCTTCGCACATATATATTGCACACGAGGCTTGAAAAACACGTTTGTAGAACTCCTCGTGGCTCTACCGCTGCATACATTTCTGTCGATGCTTGCCCTTGTTTAGGGCATAAGTAGGGTGTGGCTCATGAACTTAAACGCCTGTTCACTTCTGTACACATATTAGTAAGTACTAAGGGGCACGCGAGAGGTTCTTTCAAAGGACAATTGATGAGAAGGCTAGCTTGGAGCGCCGCGTGCTTGTTTGTAGCCTTACATAATTGCTTGTGGCACGAATCAAGAACCCCCTCGGGCTATTCTCTCGGCTGTATTTTAGGAGATGCTTGAAATAATTTTTTGAATCAGCATTCAACTGTGTCACTTTATTTGAGAGGGCTTTGAACTAATGTTTTGCATTTCAATCTCCATGACGCAAGGGTTCTCGTTGCATGCAGCCCCGTCCCATCAGGTTCGAGTAATATGGGCTACGATCCACGTATTTTTGTCTATCTTCTATCACCCGAATAAAGGGCACTTCATGGATTTGAATTTCCTGGACAGAAGGTTCAGGTGTTTGAACACCCCACGCCTGCCCAGTGCAGCGGAGGGCCTCATCGATTCCCCACACGCCTATGGTTAGGTATTTTTTTTTCTTCTTTCTCTGAAATCACAGTTGAATTTCGTTTTGTCTGTTTACACTGGCCTAAGGCAAAAGAAACAGTGCCGAAGCTTCACCTCCTCTAGCGCGCGCCTCCCTCTCCACTGCTCCGAATGACGGTTTAGGGCCAAGGGCTTTCGATTCAGGGCTTAAGGCTCGAAAATGTTTAATTACAAGTTTAGCAACCTGCTGGGCGCTCCATTCAGCTGCAGCCAGGCCCAGCTGGCATTCGACCGCAAGGGCGCGTCCCTCTTCGTCCCCAGCAGCAACCGCGTTTGCCGCTACACCCTAGATACGACTCCTAACCCTGCCCCCAGCAGCAGCAGCGCCGGCAGCAAAAGAGCTTTCGATTCATCTGTTCTGCCCGAAAATGACGGCGAAACTAGCAGCAGCAGCGGCAGCAGCAGCGCGGTCCACACTTACCCTTTTGAGGGTTTAGTAGACATCATGCACTTCTGCATTCGGTCGGACAGCCAGCTAGCCATCAGCATTGACGTGCATGGGCAAGGGTTGGTAATAAATCTGGCTAAGGGCAATGTTCTTAATCGCATTCGATTTAAAAGCAACACAACTAGCAAAATTAGGTGGCAGCAGCAAAAACAGCAGCACTTGGTTACTGCTGCTGCCTTCTCGCCTGACGATGCCCTCTTCGCCGTTGCCTGCGGAAGAAGCATCCAGGTAATTGCCGAGTTGATCGATCTGATGATATTTTTGTTCCTGTTTCGTTGCTTCATTTATGTTTATCCTCTAGCGAGTCTCTTTGTCTTCTGTCTCTTCATGCCCTTTAGGCCTATTTCTGCCCCTCCAGTGCTACATCTGATTTTGATCTCAGCATTCCTTTAGTATCCGTTTTCTTCCCCTTCCTTATCCTGCCATCTTGCAGTCTCAGTCCTGTGTTACCCGTTTTCTTCTTCTTCCTTATGCTGCCATTTTGCTGTCTCGGTCCCTTGTGTCAGTGTCGCTCCTCACATCTCTCTCAGTATCTATCTTCCCAAGCCATTTCTTTTCTTTGTAGAATACCCTTCTCTCTAGAAATCAACGTTTTTATACTTCTTCCTCTCTCTGCTTTCCGCAGCTTTTGGTCCGTTCCATCTGTTTAGTTTGTCCCATTTTATTTTTCTGCTTGCTGGCCGCTCACCTGTTTCGTGACTTACCTTTCTTTCTTATCTTTCTGCTGTACTTACAGCTCTGGCACTCTCCCAGTGCCGCCACGAACTACCAGCTGCACCTACTGACCTCGTTCACTTTACACCAACAACTCATTACTTGTCTCTCCTGGAGCCCTGATTCTCTTCACCTTGTTTCGGGGTCCCAAGACTGCACAGTTAGGCTATGGCGGGCTCGCGGTAAATGGGGGGGACAAACATCTGCAGCTGCAGCTGCAGCAGCAGCAACCGCAGCAACAGCAGGGACAGAAGAGGCAGCAGCAGCAGCAGGAGATGCTGCTTTCATTCCTTCTGCATTTCTGTCTCACCGGCACGAATTGAAGTTCGTTTGTTTCTCCCCATGTCTTACGCGTATTTACTCTGTCAACAGAGAGGGCTGCATCATTACCTGGGTCTGGCGTTCATTGGAAGAGGCGCAAGAAGAAGCTGAAGCAAATGCAGAATATGACAAGGATTTCAAGTTAAAAAACGCAGCTCGTCCAATCAACCCAGATTACTTCAATCAGCGCCGCGAGAGAGAGAAGCAGGAGGCTGCACAGTCGAAAGCAAAGGCAAAAGTGAAAGAAAAGGAAGCAAGCGGAGAAAGGAGCATGCCCACAGTTGGTGACTCCGTGGAATTCTACCACCTCATTGATTACACCAAGGGCTTGTGGAAGATGGAACAAAAGGCCTACTGCAATCAGCAGCCAGGGCAGAAGGTTTCCCGCGCCGCCACAAACCTATCCCCGTACTACAGGTACACGGGGCCTCCCTCGGGCCGCCCCGTGAACTCCCAGGAGGGCCTCCGGGGGGCCCACGCCCCACCGCAGTACCTTCTGATTGGGTTTACGGGAGGCGTCTTTCAGTTGTATACCTTGCCTGACTTGGGAGCTGTTGTTAAGCTGTCATTTGGGGTCAGATCGTTAGACAGCGTGTGCCTGTCTTACGACGGGGAGTGGGTAGCAGCAGCAGCTGCAGAAAGCAGCACTTTACTTGTCTGGGAGTGGAGGAGTGAAACATTCGTTTTGAAGCAGCAGAGCCACCAACAAGGCATGCTATGCTTGGCGTTTTCTCCTGCAGCTGATGCTGCAGCAGCTGGCAGCCACAGAATAGGGTCGCGCACGGGCCAGGGGCTTTCCTCAGGGGCGTCAGTGGGAGCTTCTGGGGGCTCTGCGGGGATTTCTTTGGGCCTGGGCTCCAGCCCGGGACTGTTGGCTACTGGCAGTAGTGACGGCAGGGTTAAGGTTTGGGACGGCGAGAGGGGTTTCTGTCTCTGCACTTTTGCTGCTCACGCTGCAGTTGTTACAGACATATGCTTTTCTCCTTCTGGCAATTTGCTTTTCTCAGCGTCGCTAGATGGCACAGTGCAGGGAATGGACCTTCTCAGGCTCAAACCCTTCAGGTAAATCCCGTATCCTAAGGCTGTAGCTGCAAAACCTGGCCCACATTTCCCAACTGACAAGTAATAAGCTGTGGAAATCGACTCGGGCTCCACAGAGGCCTGTTTTCCAAGTAGACTCAATTAGGTGTGTTTATGTATGTGTTTTGTATCATTGTATATATTACGTACGTATTGTGTGTGTGCATATGCATGTAGATGCTTGTAGACTTGCGTGTCTCCTCGTGCACGCACTCCATAAAGAACGATGTGCGTTTACCGCAGAGGACTGTCTAGCTGTACGTCCACTGTTTTTAAAATCAATGTATATAGGCGCTGATCCGTTTGTGTATCTATTTTTTCAGGGTGTACACTGCTCATAGCGCAGCTGCTGCAACAATGGGCTTTGCGGGTCCGGGAGGGTCCCCTGGGAGCTACTTGGACAGCAGCGTGCAGTTCACTTCTGTGGCTGTCGACAGTGGGGGAGAGTTGGTGGTGGCAGGGGCCCAAGGTAGCTGTTATTCAGTCTTCGTTTGGAGTGTACGCACAGCTAAGCTACTCGAAGAATTGCAGGGCCACGAGGCGCCCGTCGTAGCTCTCGCTTTCCACCCCCACCCGGACAGACAGGGGATTTTAGCATCAGGCAGTTGGGACAAAACGGTCAAGGTGAGGTATAGTAGCTGCTAAGAAGCAGAGCTTACCAACATCTACACGAACATGTGTGTGCACATACGTATTTGTCTGTACGCATTCATACTTACATATGCGTTTATATCTACATCTGTAAATGCGCATATATATAGTAATGCATATAGTTGTGTGTTTACGTGTGTGTATGCGTATCTGTATCACTATTCCGCTTGTGCACAACTGTTAACTTGTGCTATTTCGCACCTGTTGTCTTGGCATAACATTTACTAGCGAGTCCTGGGTGTATAAGGTCCAGGGCAAGGTTTGGAGTTGCGAATTCCTATGCAGCTGTGGGATATCTTGGGACGCCGCAGCCGTGGGGGAGCTCCTGAAACAATCCAGCAACCCGGCACAGTCCTGTGCCTGGCTTTCGACCCACAGGGTCGGGGTCTGCTCGCTGTGGGAGGCGACGGGGGCCGTGTCTGCCTTTTTGACTCATTTTTAGGAGCAGATGGGCCAATCAGCACGATTGAATGCCTCCGAGATATACAGGGAGGGAGGAAGATTACAGACAGAGTTGCGAAGAACGCATGGGCAACGAAAGAGAAGAAGGTAAGGCCAAAGACTACATCCAAACCTTTAGCCCTTCGATCAATATCAGTTCGAATTCGAGGGATTGCAAACAACAGGATCCTTGTTGGAGGACTTAAAAATTCTTATCGGCTTGGGTTGCGGCCAGAGTTGATAAAACACCACAGTCTAGATTTTAGGCTTCTGGATCAATTTACTGTCCCCCCCTGCTCTTTGTCTGGGCGCGTTTACTTTGTTTAGACACGCCGATGTATACGTACTTACCTTCCTCTTTTTCTCTCGCGACTATCTTCCTCAGACTGCTGATACCGCTATTTTGCATGCAGCGCGTGATGGGTTTGGTGGCCGGCTTGGACTTGAACTGCGCCGTTACATCTCTGTCATTTTCTTCCTCTGGTTCTATGCTGCTAATTGCAAGTAAACAAACAAACAAAGTTTTTCTCTACCAAGTTGGAGGAGGGTCTCTCCTTTCCGTTTTCGTTTTGACGAACAATAGACTACTAGATGGAATACGGAGGGAACTCAACTCCAAATTTATAGCTGACGATGGTAAGTAAGTAGGCAGAAAAACCAAACCCTAAGCTATTGTGATTCGTACTTTGTAGACGCCTTGAAGAGTGTCTCCTTGCGGCTAAGCCGGAATCCGGACCCCGGGAAGTTGGAAACACGTCGGTAGCTCTTTGGCCGCCTGAGATACACGGGAATGATAAGGCCTTAGCCTTACATGCTGAGGGTTTAAGATGTAGGGTCTACGGTCAAGGACTGAACGCCCTTTTTTATAGGCACTCCAATCCAGGAGTACGACCTGTCGGACGTTGACGACGACTTCATTGAGGGAGAAAGAGAAAGGAAAAGAATCCGTAATGTGAGCCTTTGCAAGCATCTCGGTACTCCTTATCCGTGCAGCCCTAAGCCCTAATAATGGCACTTCGCGGGGCTTCACTTTCACTCTCCGTCCCCGCGGCTTTTTGCTGTTGTTCGATAAGTTTGCTTTGTTGGCAAGTACTGTTCCTTTTTAGCTTTCATGCGTTCTTTCCTCCTTGTATTGACTACGAAGCGTCGACTACCCGTTTATGGACTGTTTTTTTGTTTGCATTGCAGCACCGCTCCTTGCCTGGGGTCATGAGCGGAGAGCTGGCGTCTAAGAACGGTTACCTTTTTAACGTCAATTTTGTTGGTTTTTCATCTGACAGCAGAGCCTTTGCCGTCGCTACGTCCCATGGGCTCTATATCTACGGCATAGATTTATTTGTGGGTGGAATCTTTGTTATCCCTGTTTGCTGTGTTCTGGTTATGTGTCTACATTTTTTCAATTCTGGCTTTCCTTTCGACTCCTTTTTTTCTTACCACTTCTTGTGCTGTCTTCTGCCTCGTGCCTTTTGCTTTGCTTTGTTTCCTGACAGCTATTTATTCCCTCGTCCTGCTCATCTGTAGTGTTTTTGTCCCCCCACGACTTTTCATTTGCACTTAGGAGCTATCAAGTGAAAGTAATAATCCTTGTTTTCTGTGAATAGGGTGGGATTCTGGGCAACTACGGCGTAACAGAGACCGGCATGTCTCTGCCGTTCCTGACAAAAAACGTCACAACATCCAATATAGCGAAGGCTTTACATAATGAAGAATACGCCAAGGTGCATTTAGACGTAAAGATTTGAGGGCTTCGGCTGTGTTTATTAGGTCTCCTCGCGCGTTACGGCTGTCCTCTTTTACATGTCCGTCCCTATCCTTTTTCCCCTATTCTGTTTGGATGCATCTGTGTGTGCCTTTCCTTCCCCTTGTGTTTCTGCCTGCGTCTTCTCTTTTTTATCTTCGTTGCCGTCTGTATCTCTGTAGATACATGCTTAGGTGCTCGGGAGCTACTACCCGCAGCTATTTACCTAACTTCCAACAGCATCTAGCTAGCGGCCTAGCTGTGCAGAGGAACTTCAAGCTAGTCACGAATAGCCAGCCTTAGCTCGCTGCAGAACCTTTCTGTTTGTATGCACTGCCTGTGCACTTCAGGCTTTCTTGCTGGCGCTGGTTGCCAACAACAGGCCGACGCTGCTATGTGTGTACGAGCGCATTCCAGCTGCCTCAGTGCCTTTGGTGTGCAGCAGTCTGTCTGCAGCTTTATTGCCCTCTCTTCTTTTTTTTCTGCAAACCCTGTTGTCTACGGATGCTCGATTGGGCACAAGACATATTCAGTTTCATCTACTGTGGCTCAGTTGCGTGCTCAAGCTACACATGCACGTGTTCCAGGGTAAGTACACGCGAATAACTAGCTGCCTATTCGGCAAGCGGCGTTCGCATAGGCCCTTAGCTAGCTGACTAACTAATTGCAATTAACTGCACGTTGTTATGACTGGAGGCTGCAAGAACTGGCCCCAGGTTGCTATCTGGTGAGGAAGCCAGACTACGTAATTGTCCAGTTGCATTTTCGGTTGACTGTGATGTGGAGACAAGATGCTAAACGCTGTTGCGAACGCTTTCTCACGAGGTCATGTTGAACAGTTTTGAGGATGTTGGGGATAGTTCAGCATATTTGGGGAAAAGCTGTATGTACACTTTTGCATCTGTGCACAATTGTCAACATATCCTGCACCTATGTACAGGCGCGTAAATTAGGAACTTCTTAATCCTTGGACATTCACTCATGTGTGCAAATATCTAGTAGGCGTCTACTTGGCTCTAATAACATTACTATAGCTGCTTTTCCTCTTCTTTTTTTGTGCTCTAGGAGACCTGGGTAGGCAGTGGGGGAAAGCGAATGTAGAGGGCGACGGCCATGGACAAAGCCAAAGTGCAAGAAGGGCTAACGCATTCTCGCGCCTGTCTAGTAATTCCAAAACACTGAATGATAGCTAGTTTTCCAGCCAAAGCCTGCGATAGTTTCCTGTTGCCACTGCGGGCTTTGGCTGCCTGCCCAGAAACTTCTACACGTGAACTATACATGACCACACATCCATCATATATATTAATGATTTTGCCTGTGTTTGCGTGTATGTCAGGTCTAAACTTCGATTTGCGCACGCTGTTTCTGCTGCTGCTGCGTCAGGTGCAGCAGCAACACGCGAGCCTGCACAGCACTTTTGCTTGTAACTTGGGGACCCTCTCTTTCCTCACCGCCGCAATGCGTAACGGTGAAAAAAGCTCAACAGATAGCTTTGCATGCAGTGATTAGCTGTGCTTCAAGGAATGACAGAGAAAAACAAACGCAAAGGAACCATAACTATTTGATTCATGACGCAATGTGGATACATCAGGAATTCCAGTAACAATGCAGAAGGGTAAGTGGGAGCCGAAGCCGTGCTGACAGCTACCACCTGGCCACCGAGTCCTGGTGATGCGCATAGTTTGGCTATTCAGCAAGCCATGGTGCTCTTGGAACAACTTTTGAGTGGCGTCTTCGCTAGCCATTAAACAAACACTTTGAGAGCTGCGCTAGCTAGAGAGGTCATTGTTTCAGGTAAATTGAAGGGGACGGTTTCAGCCAGTCAGCTGGTTAGTTCTTGTCAGGGGGCACCTTATGAGGTATCCTTTGGGACACCGTAAGAGGTATCCTTTAGGACCATTAAGGTAAAGCGAGCGCAAGACAAGACGAAGCAGGGAGTGGGGTCAAGGCTCAAAGGGACAGCTTACAGGGTCTAGAGTCCACGGCTACGGCCACATGATATAGGGTGTAGGTGTCAGCATGCGACGGCAGGAGCCAACGAACAGCCACTGGACGGCTTGCTGGGAAGTTGTATGGCTGTATTCTCTGCATGCGCAGCTCTTGGTTTGCAAAGGCAAAGCCCACCTAGTTCTATACGAAGATAATTACGATATTATGCAAAAACATAGACACGTATGCCACTAGGTAAGACAGATGTGTAAGAGAGAGCGGCGTTGTGAGAAGAGAACTTCTCTCTGTGCGAACTAGCCGAAGTTGAGAAACAAAATGTGGGGGCGAAAAGATACGTGGCACCTTTAGAAAGAAGCTGAAATGACAAAGGACCCCACGGACTTCCTGGAGCCAGCATGACAGCAGTAGGGGCCTTCCCATTGGGTCTCTGTGGGCTTTGTATCAGAAGCGTGGGCTCGACCAACTGCACCTGACCTTTGCTTTCAAGGCAACGCTCTTTAATGATATTAGCATGTTTATTGCAACTCAAATTGGACAATAGTAAGGTGAAGCCTGGCCGACTGGATCAAAATCATCTCAGTGGCTCGTCTCATCATACTGATTTGCTGGGGCCCCCAATGGGGCCCCTTAACTAAGAGGTGTATAGGCACACAGGAAATGAAAAAGGAAGTAAATTTTCTCCTTTTGATTTTTACAGCTATCACAAGTCTTGACTTAAGAGGATTCGATGGCGAGTCACGAGCGCACGGGTTCCATTTACTCTCCGCGTCTTTACAGGATGCGCTCACTAAAACTCCCATTGGCAGCAACTCAGGGGCCCTCTCTAGGATCCCCTTGAGAACCTCACTAGGGTCCCCCATAACACAATTCAATGCGGCATTTACTAGAGCCTTCAATGGTTCTCCCCTGGGGCCTCGAGTCGGAGGTCTAGGGTATGCCGCAACGTCCGCTGCTCTGTACAATCGAGGCACGCGCAGAAAATTTGTCTCTAGGGGAAAAGATAAAGGAAAATCTCTCACTTTCCAGCCCAGCACTTGCCAGCCCGCCTACTACCCTATTGCTGATGGCCAAACGCTACGTGCTGCGGCTACAGCTGATCGGGCAGCGGCAGCGTCAACTGCTGCTGCTGCTGCTGCTGCTGCTGAGGAAACAGATCCGCCATTGTACAACGACAGAAACAAAAGCATCGATGACAAATGCGGCAGCAGCAGCAGGGAAGGAGAGCGCAGGAGGTCTATAGCGGCTGATAACCCCGGCGCCGATGCCGACAGCAGCGTGAACGCAATGAACAGCAATAGCAGCAACGGCAGAACGGAAACCATCACCATTAACAGCAGCAGCGCTTCGCCCGCCAGTGTAACCCACTGCATATGCAGCGCAGCAGCAGCAGCGAAAAACGCATCTGGCTCTCCCTCCGACAACGCCCTTGTCTTGCGTTTTGCCCCTAGTCCCACAGGACGTTTGCATGTAGGGGGTGCCCGCACAGCTCTATTCAATTTTGGTCTGCTAACAGACCATCGCAAGCATTTGTATGACTCTGAGATGCCACCGGAGCCTCCGGGGGCCCCCACCGATTCGCAGGCCTCCGCACGAGGCAAGAGAGATAGATTTATTTTAAGGATTGAAGACACAGACAGCAGCAGAAACGACAAAAATATGGAAGCGGAAATAGTCAGAGATCTGCGGTGAGAAATTGCACATAATAGGCTGCCAAGAGAGCTTGGAGCCAAAAGTTTGGGGACGAGGGGCCACAGTCTAATGTTGAGTATTTGGGTTTCGGTTTCTACAGGTGGTTGGGCATACAGTGGGATGAAGGACCCGATGTAGGTGGCCCCAAAGGCCCCTATCGTCAATCTGAAAGACAAGAAATATATAGGTATTGGCTCAGGGCTCTAGGAACCAGGACCCGATATTTAGAATTTAGTCGATAGAGAACGGCGGCCTTAAAGCCAGTCTTCTGCGTCGTTTCATTGATGGGATGGGTGGGAGACCACTAGAAGACTTTATATAATCGTTGCTGCTCGGGTTGCTTTGGGTGTACAGACAGCAAGGCCGACGACTGCTGCAAAAAGGATTCCTGTACAGATGCTTTTGCAGCAAAGAGAAGCTGCTGCAACAGCGCCAAGAGGTTCACTAGCTGCCCTCCCCGTTGCTGATAGTTATGTCGTTGTTGCATTTGCTGCTGTATCTGTCGCCGCTGCTGTTACGCATGTGTTGTCTGCTGTTCCCCTAGTCGCTGCTGCTGCGGATGTCTTTTCCATAAATTTTAGGTAGAGCTTCGGCTTTTCGCCATAGAATTTCTATTAAATTGTTTGTGTTGTAGTGCTATTGCGTTCAGTTTGTGCGCCAGGGCCTTCCGCCTCGCTATGATGGGACATGTCGATCTTTGGACCCGCAAGAGGCGGAGAAACTCGTAGCGGATGGGAGGCCATTCACCCTTAGATTCAAGTAGCTTTGTTGTTGAAGCTGTTGCTGCTGCTGCTATAGCAGCTTGCATTGTCCTTTCTACAGCTGCAGCTGCTGACCCTGTTACTCTTGTTTCTTGCCGAAGTGGCGGCTACAGCTGATGGTGGCAGGCTTGATTTTCCCATATGCTGTTGCTGGTGTTGCTGTTGTGTGCTGCTGCCAGCGTAATGCGCTGCTTCTGAGCTGCGCTGTTGCCGCTGTTATACAGGACCGCGGCTGAGCCAGACAGGATAAGTTTCACGGACATCGTGAGAGGCTGCGTGACCTTAACGGTGGGACAGACTACAGGGGACTTCGTTTGCTTCAGACCAGCTGCAAGGGTCTGCTCAAGAGCCCCAGTAGATTCAGCGAAACCGTCCTTGGAGTCCTCAACACGGGCAGGAGCTTCCACAGAAGAAGATCTATGGGGACCTCCCGTTTATAACTTTTGTGCTGCCGTTGATGACTGGCTGATGGGGGTTACGGTTGTCGTAAGAGGCGAAGAGCACATTACGAACACAGTGGCGTGAGACAGTTTAACACAGTGGCGTGAGATAGATTAACACAGTGGTGTGACACAGCTTAGGGGCTTCAGGTTTTGGGGCCTATAGTCTGTTTGCCAACGTGTAAATTCAAAAGGCAGCGACCAAGCCTCGCGCAGCCTTGGCTAGCAATTGGAGCTTCTAGAAGATTCATAAGTTTGTAACGTCCACGTAATTCATAGTTCCGGGCCCACAGTCGTGGGCACTGCATATTTGGCATAAGGGTTCAATGGTATAGGTTATTTTATTTGGGACTTCAGGCAACTGCTTGTGGGGCGGGCCTTGGGGGCCCCAACGCCTGTCTTCTGTCACCTTCCAATAATCAAGGCAAGGGAGGGAGGCAAAGTTAGTAAACGAAAACAGTTAAGAAGTGCCAGTAGATGCAACGGCAGAGGCAGCAATAGCGGCAACAATAGCAGAAACAGCAGCGGCAGTGACTACACCATCCGCGGGCTACGGCTGTGTGGGTATCATCCTGAGGCGATTGTTGAATTCTTGCGGGGCCACCACGCTACATGCATAGATCAGCAAAGGTGCGTATAAGTCCTCAGCATCAAGGCCTTAGCGCAAGGCGTTAGTTTCCTACTTGTGCGGGGTTCCTCTTGTTTCCCACAGTTAGAAACGCTTGGGATCTACTGTTTGGCATTCGCGTGTGCACAGGAAGACGGCGTCTTGGATGAGTGCATTAGGGCGAAGTGCTTTCTTATTTGATGAAAATCACTTAGAATTTGCACACAAGAAGAAAATACAGAAAGTAGTTTATTGCCGCTGCTGCTGCTGTTGCCGTCGCCGCACTGTTGCTTTCTGCGTCACTGCTGCTAATCACTGTTTGTGACCTGCTGTTGGCGTTGCTGGTACGGTATTTTGCCTCTGCAAATAAGTTCTTTTGACTATGACTAGTGCTGCTCATTCTAGGCTCAGGGTGTACGGTGTGAGTGCAGTTGATTGAAAGCCCCAATCAGGAGGATTTGGTACAATTTTTCCTAGACGTTCTCTCTGAGGCCTCAGGTGTCTGTTGGAACACCCCCATAGAATCGAGAGCAACAGCAGAAACACCGGATGACACAGCAGGAACTTTTCGGGCTTGCGACTGCGGGAAACCTATCTCCTCAGTCCTGCATAGGACTAATCCTTTCCTGTTCGCTTTCATCTCCTTAGCTGCTCGTCTGCTCCTACCGCAGCACAGGGCGCCTGAAGACATTGCGCTTGCCCTCACTGAAGCTCTCAGGGGTGGCAACCTAACTGTTATGGGATTCACGGCCACGGCCGCCGGAGTTCCGTTTTTGGGACGCCCCGTGTGGGAGTCCCGTTCCCAGGTGTGTACTGCGGTGCCACACTTCCTTGATGTTGCAGCCGCAGTGGTTGCCTCTAGAGACCTTTTTTTGAAGCTATCCAAAGCGGAATCAGTAGGAGGAACTAAAACGCCACTAGAAACAGCACAAACAGAAAAGGCAAAAACAGGAGCAGTGGCAGCTGAATTGCGGAGAAATGCCAAAGGGGCTTCAAACGAAATGGAAGAAACCGGTGAGATACACGCGCAGCAGCAGCAGCAGCCGACATTGCTGCATCGGTTTGAGTCCTGGAAAGAGAAGGTGCAGACACAGCTGAATATTAGCAGGGCAAGCCTCTTGAAGCTCCTTAGGATCGTACTAACTGGCAGAGATACGGGGCCGCCAATAACCCAGCTGGTGAGGCATGATAAGCAAGTCCTTCCCCCAGGTTTATCTTGTCACTTTTACCTGTCAATTATGGGATAAGTGGGTGTTGAGAGGGCAAGGCCGGGTTATGTGAATACATGAGCAAGGAGTGTCGTTGAGTAAAGATTGCCGCCCCGTACTCCCTCGTTCCTGTGTCTTCACGCATTTACCGTTGTTCTATTGTGTCACCACCCACTTATTTCCTTCCGTTTCAAGATTATGGGTCTCGTTCTGTCTTTGGGGCCTGTTTTTGCAGCTGCAACTGCTCGACGCTGCAGTACTGGGGGGCCTTGCCGTGCATGCGGAGGGAACGACGCTGGACAAAAAGGGGAACAAGTGGACTCGCGTCTCAAGACACTGCGGGGTGTCTTGGCTACAGAAACAAACCGTGAAAACTGTCGAGCAAAGGCTGACAGAGCTGGCGGTACTTCTTCGTGAGCATAGTCCGTCGAGCCGTTGATATTCCTATTGCATCTACTTGGTCATCTTCAACTGCTAGCCTCTTCGTTTGATTTTATGTACCTACGTACCGCAAAGTCTCCTACTGAGTATTCGCCCCCTAGTGTAATGACTGCGAATTGCCGGTGCTACGCCATTAGCACATGCCAATGCTACATATTATTCAAGCATTTTCGATCCACAAATGTACAACAAGCACTACATACCGCTTTTGGAACCAGCATGTGCTTTCTGTGCATGGGCGCTTCGTCCATGCTGCTCTTTCAGTTTGTGGCCTACTGATCGCTTACTTTCCTTGACCTATATGCAATGCCGTGTATGTTTCCAGCTTCGCACTACAGGAGCTCGGGAACTATATTTATCAGTTGCCCGTGCCTCTCCTGCATGTCTTATCCGCCTGTCGGAGCACCCAACTTTCCATTATTCTATTTTATCCGTGCCGGAATCTGTCCTTGCCCGTCTCTGTATTTAGTTATCTCCACAGTTCCTGCCGATGCTTGTGCCTCTATTTCTGTGTTCGCCTCTGTTTTTCGCCCCTCTTTTCTTGTTTACTTGCCTCGTGTCACAGTCTCTTCTCCATGAAGAAGGCAGCTCTTCGGATCCCAAACTGCCTTCCATGCTATATATTCGAGTATGTTTATGTTTGCCACTTGGTCGCGCTTATTTGCACCTCTCTGTGTTTGAGTGTGTTCGTTTGAGTCTGCTTCGTGTCTCTCTGCCTACTAGAAGTGGCAGGGAACGAAGACGGAAAATCAAACACACAGAGGGAGATACATAGGCAGAGGGAGAAACAGAAAAAGACTGACACAGAAGGACGGACACCAACGCACGCAAAAAAATGTAGAGGAGGGTGATAAAGAGACAACGATGCACAAACAGATTGTTGAGCCCCCAGCCAACCCAATACGCGATGCAAGGAGCTTTGCCTGTCTACTCATGGTTTTTTGAACAGCAACGAAACTAAAAATAAACCTTCTTGTGTCAGTTGCTTGCATCCTCCTCCGCGTAGTTCGACAGAACGCCGAAGATGGGTTGGACGCTGAACACAGGCCTGTGGCAAACAAATCAGATGAACAACGGCATCAAGTAAATGACACACGCAGAAAAGCATACAGTGAATGATAGCATACAAATCGTAAGCATGCAGAACAGTAAATGAACTGGTGAGCACTGCCCAATGGCGAACTTGAAGCAAGCGAGTGAAATATACATTCGTGGACGGACGCAGGGAGGACGGAGTGTACATAAACGGAAAGAGGCTCGAATGAGCAGAGAGACCAAACACCAGTGTTCAAAACGGGGTAGATCCACGCAAATGGGATGCGCAGAGAGCCACAAACGGAAAAAAACACTGCAAAACGCAGAAACCGAGACACACAAACGCACTAGAAGCGGAATCATGACAGCAAAAATCGGAAGCTACGCGGCATGCAAACATTGTAGAAGGGACAACCGCACGACAGACAGCAATAAGTGCAAATAGTACGAACTGCAGTGTCGACGCAGCACGAAAAGCAACGCAAAGCGTAGTAGCAGCAGCGACGAAACAAGGAAGCAGCATGAGCAACCGCAGCAACAGCACCTTTCTGACGCGGGAGTGGCTCTGTTGAATCTGGCGATTGTCACAAAATCTTCCGTCGTTTCTTGTGTGATGAAACTAACAAACGCAAGCACGGGGAAACAGAGACAAACAAATATGAGTCTATGATGCATGCGAATAAAACGGCGTAGTGGGCAGACTGCAGACGTAACAAACGGAATCACTACGCAGCGAAGAAAAAAGCAGGGAACGAATGGCTACGTGGTGAAAAGCAAACAAACAAGAACGAAAAACGCCGGTGAAGGTAGCCTTGTAACTCCTAGGCGTGCATAACCAGCAACCAGCAAGCTGACCACGCAATCAACCAGCCCATCAAAGCGCAACAGGAGGAAGAAACATGAAGAAGGGATGGATGAGGCACGCTCGCCGTCGCCGTCGTCTCCCACTGTTCAGTCCCTTACTATCAGTTCGTCCCTACATTTTCTTTCTCTGCGTAGCTCCTGTGGCTCGCTGCTCTTGTCTGCATCTATTCTTCAGTACAAATTTCGTGCCATACGCTACGGTTGCCTTCACCCTCATGCTGCTTTGTATAAATGCTGTTCTGTATAACACTAGGCTAAGACCTACCTCTCCCTTTGCACCAAAAGGTACAAAACTAAAGTCTCCCTCGTTGTTTTCATAGCTCAGAGCTTAATACGCCAATATGCATCTGTCTGTCTAGCTCTCCATATCTATCATCTGTTCGTAGCAACATCTGCATAAAATTGTCCTAGTTTTCATCTGTCCTTAGCTTTCTTACTTCGACGTTCGCTCCGGCTCATGTTCACGCCGTCAGATCAACGCTGTCAGATCAACAGTTGTATTTATATTTGCATCTTACCGTCCATCAAAAGGGTATCTATCGCAGTCGTCCTCATCTCTGCTGTATTCACATGTCCAAACTCTCACCATCTTCTCAACCCCACTGGTGGCCAGCATTGGAGGGCCCCACAGGCCTAAAGGACTCTGTGGCGCAGGGCTGAAGAGCATCAGCAGCAGCAGCAGGGGAAGCATGAGTCCGCAGATGATTACGCCCAGGCAAATACATTCATAAAAAAATCATGCACAATTTCCAATGCAGATAGATACATGAGCGCATACGGACACGCGCAGGCGCGCCTATCCACAAAAATGTCCACAAACATACAAAAAATGGATAAGTACAGGAATATCTGGACGTACAAATATACGTACGCATGCATAGATTAGTGAGTACAACCATACACAGGGTCACGGCCAGCTTGTGCACCTTCCCCTCTCGGAATGCGCAGAGAGTACCTCTTCGTGTAATCGCTCGCCCTAAGAAAAATTATTCTACATTTTGTATGTACTGTATACATATATGTCACCTCGCACAACAATTGACTACACATAGATGACCCCTCAGACACGTAAGCCGCCTGAGAGGCTTTGTTGCCGTAGGCTTCACCGGCAGAGGCGTTGGCAAACACCAGATGTGAACCTGAAACGGAGGGAGACAAAAGACAACTAAGTGAACCGTCGACTTAATAAGTAATGCACCAGGAAAAGAACAAAACGAGAACATCAACGTACAGTTTGAGAGTAAAAATGCGTTGTCTACAAAAAGCACAAATTCGTCAGTACGTAGGTGTAGGCAAAGATTCAAAGAAGACGAACAGCCAAACGATGAGCCACGCACACAAATAGGCGAAAACACCACAGGATCAAGTACAGCAAAGAAGGCAAAGCACGGAAGCAACGCCTTGCCGCCAAGTGTAGCTCACCGCAGACAGTAACAGTGTGGTTGCATACACAGCACATCGGTGCATATATACACGCAAGCATGGACAATACACTACAGCTAAGCTCATGCAAAGTGTTATCAGCCTCATCATAATCGGTTCCGTCCATCTCACCTGGAGGTCCTCAGAGCCGCAAGCCACATGCTTCATATCAGTCAAGAAACATCCTCCCTTCATGGTGGTCACGTTTGTGTAGCCTTCACTCTGCAGCTCGAACAGTGGCAACTGATGAAGCGCAACACAAAAACAAAAGAAAAAGAGTCGAACTCAACGACACAACAGAATGGCTCGTCGATGATGAGAAGACAAACATACATGAACGCACAAAGAACCAGTGCTTAAACTTGCTAAATCAGCGACTCAGCCTTGGCATCATTCACACAGCATCCAGGTTGCCACATGCAAATGTGCTAGAGCACATGGGCATTGTGCATTGTACGGAGGCGACGTAAATACAGCATTGCATGGATGCGATACACACAGATACCAATTCAAGAACGTACAGAATTAGAACCTGACAACATCAGTCCAGACCTAAGTCTCTGTCTAGCCAATACACAGCAGAGGAAACTTTCCTTTTGAGTCTACGTGCACTTAAGGTTCTGCTAACCTCCCAGTCTGTACTGTACAACAGCGGCTCTTTCCTCCTGCGAATGGCGAGTAGCAGTTTTCCGTCCCAGGAAAAAACGATTTTGTCAATCATTTCGACAAAGGGCACATCGCTTAAACGCTTGCCCTCATATACTTTTCGGGCCCCTAGTGGTTCCCGAGACACTGTCCTATACGTGGGGAAACGAATGGCCGGCAGCTGCGCAGCAACAGCCTCAGCCTCACGCAAAGCTGCACGAATCTCAGCTGAGGCACCACTCATGGCGTGATCCGCTGGTCGAATTCGAGGTCGATCCGAAGATCGACCCCGAGATTGCCTTCCCAAGGATCGTTGTCTAGATCGGCCACCCGAGGATCGGCTCCGGGATTCGCTATCTGTGGAACGAGCTCGTGACCTTATCCCCGACGACCGACCCGCTGCTGATTGACCGTCTTGGGAACGATCTCCCTGCGACCGCTCATCGTGAGATCGTTCACGGGAAAGTCTCCCGCGGGAACGCCTCCTCGGGCATCGACCTTCGTCAGGGCAAGGGCTGTTACAGCCAGAGAGCCTCTCAGCAGAGCTGCTCAAGCCACTACCTCCTTCACGAGCTGCAACAACAGCATCAGCCGCGGTGTCGGTTCTTGTAGCAGCTGTCTCCCCTGCGCTAACAGCAGGAGCGGCAGGAGAGGAGGACGCCTCGTCTGTGCGGCGGTCACCCTCTCTCTGTCCACTTACGAAGGTTGGGCCCCCCCAAGCCTGCAGCGGCCCACCTCTTCGCCTCAGCTGCCCGGCTTCATCGAATTCGAGGTTAAAGGCGTCCATCAGGGCCTGGCCATACGAGGTACGTGGCCTGCCACCAGCAGCACCAGAAACCGTCCCCCCGCAGCCACGGCTGCGTCTGCTGCTGCTAGCTCTGGTATGAACGCCAGCAGTAGGTGGCACATCGGATGCTTGGGCCCCTTCTTCGTGAGAAGCCCCGAGAGAACTCTCTACTGCAGAACTGCGACGAGATGACCCCGGAGGGGAGCCAACGCTCAACATTGATGCTGCTGACTCACCTGCAGCGGCCAGAGCAGCAAGAGCGTACGCAGGGGAAATGCCTGACCCTGGTCGAAGGCTCGCTCCTACAAGACGCAATGCAACCGCAGTATCTCTTGCTGCCGCTCGCCGTCGAAGTCTTCGTGATCTAGAACTTGATGTTCCTTCCCGCTGAGGCAGCTGGTTCTGCTGCTGCTCCTCTTGGGAATCGTTAACGTTCAGTGAATGCCCCTGTGGAGTTCCTCTGATACTTGTTTCTTGACGGGTTTGCAACTGCTCCTGTTGCGTCTCGGAAGACACCGGTGAGGTACCAGCAGCCACTGCTGCTACTGCGTGCTGCGACCGAAATCTATGCTCTGTGTGTGGAGAACCTCTGGCACGAATGCTACTGCTACTATTGTTTTCGCTACCGCTATTGCTGCACTTGCTGCTGCTCCGAATACAACGCCTTTTGCCGCTTGTAGAAGACACTTCCTTTTTTGTTTCTGCGGAGTCGCCGTCTGGTGACCTGCTGTTGCTGCGGCTGCTGCTGCTGCTGCCTTTTCCATTGCTGAAGCTGACGCTTCTGCTACGGACGCTACTAGCGGCCGCTGTTGCTGTTGCGTCTGATGTGTCCGAAAAAGGTTTGGTGTTCAAATTGCGATTCCCTCCTCCCCTCAGCAGCCTTAGGCTGCGGCGTCCCCCCCTCCCTAGCCTCACTCCCTGTGTGTCCGCCGGCCGCTGAGTACTGCTGTCTCCACTGCTGGTGCGGCTGCTCTGTCTGCTGCTGCAGCTGCTCTGCCTGCTGCTGCTGCGGCTGCCTTGACAGTTTCTGCTGTTGCTTTGCCTGCTCCCGCTGCGACTGTTTTGTCTGCTGCTGCTACTGTGACTGCGGCTGCTCTGTCTGCTGCTGCTGCTGCTGCGGATGTTCTGTCTGCTGTCTCTGTCGCCACGGCTGTTGAGCCTGCGCCTTGCAGATCTAACGACCGGCGAAGGGCACTCAACAACAGCGGCTGAGCCACTACCAGCCGTGTCTCCCGCAGAAGACGTGCGCAAGCCTTCTCGTCCCCTTCTCCCGCGATGCCATCTCCATCCGCACCATCGGTTCGGGATGCGCATCATTTCATGGACTTCCTCGTATAGCCGGGAGCCAGATGAGCTCCAGCGGCTCCTGCGACTGCTGCTCCCGTGGCCTCTGCTGCTGCTGCGGCTACGCGTGTCGCTACTGCTGCCACTGGCCACGGCGTGCCTTGAGGCACTAAAGGTTCCGCTGCTGCCGCCACTGCTGTCGCTGCTGCTGCTGCTGCTGTTGTTGCTACTGCTGCTGCTGCAGCGACTCCTGCTGCAGCTGCTGCGACTCCTGCTGCGGCTGCTGTTAATGATGCGGCTTCGGCGCCAAGTACTTAGTTTCGTATCTTCCCCTTCGGCATCCCCAATTACTGCAGGGACCCTCAACCTCATGAATGGCCGGGCGGTTCGTAAGTCCTAGAAGATCCGCAGCAAACGCAACTTCACAATGAGGTGATGTCTTCATCAACTGATATCATTACTCGATAACTTATTCTTCAGGACGTAATCCGTAGTTAGTGGACCAGAGGTGAAAAGAAAAGAAACAACAAACGGTGTGGCAAATAAAGGGCTATAGTGGAGCCTGGATATGTGAAAGAATTGCACGACGATCTCCACCTTACTGAATAGTTTAGAACTCAAAGCTTGACCGCAAATATATGGATCCGGACCCCACGAGTCAGTTCTCGGTGCACAAAGTGGCTGTGATACGCTACCGTTTAGGTCTAGGAAATCAGTTTCAGAGCTACGCCAACTAGGGTTCAGATATTGTCTGTCTCACGAGAATCCCAGCCCCACAGCTGCCTGCGTACGCCAAGTGGTAGGGGCGGGGAATGTGGGGGTCGACACTGGTGAAGTCTCCGGTGTTCCGCATGACTGGATGTGTCACCAGAGGCCGCTCTCTATGACACAAATACAGCAGCAAACACGGCCCTCCTCGCCAAGTATGCGCGTAGTTCCACAGAAAAGAGCAGAGAAACTTGGAACCAAGGACTGAACGAGACTGGCACACGGGAACGCAGTAAGAAAGCAATGAGCCGTCAGCAGCAACACATGCACAGGATAGAGTAAGCAGCAACAGCACAAACACAACATATGCGCAGTAACAGTCAGCATCCCACCTGAAATCTGCAAGTGCAACAAAGCCAGACTCGAGTGCGGCAGCGGCAATCTGTCCTGCGGTGTCAATAAACTTGGCCTCAAAACAGGCTCGCGTCCGCGAGCGTGGAAACAGGATCAGTTCTTCGTCCGCTGCAACCAAAATATCCAGGTTATTCCGAACAATCGCCGCCGCAGCAGCAGCTGCTGCTGCAGCTGTTGCTGTCGTCGCCGGAGCTACACCGGCATCAGTAGCAGTGGCGGATGCATCTCCGGACTCAGTGACGGACAGCCTGGTGGACGCCTCGGGGTGAGTCAATGGAAGCGATAGAGACCGCATCTCTTCCACTGAAGGTGCGTGCAGCCGACCGTAAATAGAATAGAAATCGCGACTCTCAGAAGCCTCAGCTGTAGCAGCAGCAGAACTCAGGGATATGCGAGTGACCAAGCCGTCGTTCGCCGCTGTCAACGCGCGGCTCCCCAGTGCTGCAGCAACAACAGCAGTAACAGTAGCGGTAGCAACAGAAACAGCAAATGACTGCTGGAGCTTTGAACCTCTCTTCATAGCACCCACGCAACATATAGCTGCAGCCAGCAGTTACCTTTTCACCTGCGCAATACGTGTGGAGTATTCTACTCTGTACAAATCGCTAATGGGTACTTGTATATGTTCTTCTACATATGAGCATGCTTTGCTCATCCGCACAAGTTTCGCTGATGATTGCGCAGCCTTGTGCGTTCAGACACGGGCACGAATACGCAAGTGGGCTACCGCGCACATTGGGGTCTACACAGTTCACGTGGCTTTACATTTATTCACATACATACAGATGAAGCTGCGTTCATACATACATAAATAGTACATAGATACATACTTAGTACTACACGTGGATGTCTTCCATCTACATATATAGATGAATTCGTGCATGGACCCGCAAAATGATGGTGATACCACTGTGCGCAGCCGCCTAAGTCAGTGCTTTACCATTCGCTGAGATGAAAAGCATCTTAGCCACGACACATACACGACGAGCATCTTCGCGTATATGTACATATGCATCCTTTTCTATGCACGCGAACTTAGGATGCCAATGAGGTAGACAATGTGACACGCATGCATGACTACAAATAAAATCATGATCATACAAATATGTGGAGCACGTAAATACGTTACTATTCAAAGGTACAGAGGAGTACTTGCATATGTCCGCACAAGCATAAACACGTGCAAAAGATACAAACATACAACCTGTATGCATTCATGTACGGATTAACATGCACATGTGATTAAAAATATTATATATTATACAAGAGAAACAAGTGTACCATTTAAATACGCTGCCACTGAAAGGCATACAGTGTTTGAATTCAAGTGTGAAGAGAGGGCAATTACTTACTATCAAAATCAATGCAAAATATGTTATCAGAGTGCTCTGTGGGCAGCACCGCTTTGGGCGTACGCGGCCAAACACGAGGCTCCCATATGAGGAGGCGGAGGTCATCGCCCCCGCTGAAGAGCCAGGGCTGCGTAGGGTGGAATCTACAATAAACACACACTCCAAGGGCGCATGCTAAGATGCGTCACTTCGTGATGCTGAAATATAGATAGTCGATCAATAGAAGGACTACCTTTGCTCCAAGCACAGAAGCACGCACATGATGCTATGGCGGGAGGAGCCGCGAAAACAGAGAAAGGAAAATACTAGAGGGTCACTTTAGATGAAGCTGACGGACAGACACAAATAATGACGAGCATGATGACCGAAACAGCTTTAGAGATGGCAATAGGTGCATCCAAGCAGGCCAAGCTGAGTATATACGTGTACAACATCAAACCCACTTGACTTCACGTTGTGTATAGGTGACTACTGCATGCGCTTACTTGATGGCGTTCACACAACCCTCGTGGCCTCTGTAGCGGTACGACGTCTTGAAGAAACCTGGACCACTTAAATTCATGTACTGGGATCGCATCCGCCAATAACAATTGGCAGATAAAAGTCGACTGCGCGTCGGGATGCTGCTCATGCTCGAGCTGCCCAAAAGACGCTGCGAGCCCCTGTCAAGGAGCAGCTTGCAGCCCCCCCAAGGACCCCTACCTCGTGAACGTAACTGCAATATCGTAGCCCGCAGAGCCCAAGAGGAGTCACTGTTCGTCTCATCATGCTCACTGTCAACCCCCGAAACAACGCATGCAAAAGCTTTCTTGCTGTCGCAGGGGGTTAACTGTGGTACCCTTCCTGAGCCGACAGGCTCACTCGGACCTTGCTGGCTGTGGCAGCCGTCCTTGTCCATGTCCTCGAGTGAACTACACGTGCTCTTCCTTTTGGGGGCCCTATAAGGCCCTACAAGACGAAGAAAACGCAGGACGGCAGAGAGCGCGATGAGGCCTCCAAATGGGACCCCTCAGATGCCTCTACTCGCCTCCACGGCCACAGCTACTACGCCGCCGTTACACGCGAAAAATCCTCCTACAGGGAACAGGGCGTATGATGATAAAGACTGAGCTTTCATTTGCTAGTGAGTCTGGGACTCAGGCCACCAGTAGAAGGCGCAATGCAAGACGGCACACAGGGATTATTGACATTAAGTTAACCCAGATTCGTGAAGAATATTCAATCCGCACGGTGAAACCCAAAGAAGAAGATATCGAGGAAATCGGAACAGAAAGCACGGCGGACAGCAGAAGAAAGACGAAACTGCTACCCTAGGGGGAAGCCGCAGAACGTACTTCAGAAGAAAATACTACAGAAATGACTTTGTTCATGCTGCTTAACGATGGCACCATGACGGAAGAGGTGCTTAAATGCCGCATGAGATAAAAGCTCAAATGGATCACCGCCTGTCGAGCTTGAAGACGCATGCATTGCTGGGGCCGTGTGTAGGCACAAAGAGACGCACAGCTAATAAAAATAAGATGGAGTTGCGAGCCCATGATGCTTTTTACGGAGTAGTATTCAAATTCAACGCTGCGAAGACCTCCTGAGAGCTGCAACAAAGACACCGCAAGCCCAAGTTGTTGTTCAAGACAGGAAGGCAGCTGCTCTGCCCTATGCCTCGCATGCGCGCAATCTTCGCTGCCCAGTTTGTTTTCTAGCTAGAATAAATGGATCGACAGCATTTTATTGTTCATGACTTCTGTGTAGACGGACGTAACGGGGCAAACGACGAGTCACAGCCTTCCAGTGACATCCTGCACAGTACGGATGGTGGCTTCTGATGGCGAGCTCTGAATCTGTCTTCCTGGATATTTCGTAGAATCGAGACAATAGTATTCTGCAGCAATGTGTTTGGTGCTACACGCTGTGTGAAGTACGTATGCTGGGCGGACCTCTCGGTGCCATTTAGATACGATCACGATAAATATAATTAGTGGAGGGTTCAGCGGCTTTCGCTGGGGAAGGTGTCGGCGGTTTTGCAGTAGTATACATATGAATTGGCGGAGGTGGCATCAAAGATGTAGCTTAACGCGAGCAATAGCGGCCTTTGCAGCGCGGGCGTCGGCCTCGACCAAGCGCTGGGGCAGGAGATCCGTAGACGTTATTTACCCATTGCTTGAGCACTGCTCAAACTCAGCTTCACATGCAGAAATGGGAATGGCTGTTATGCATTTCCACCGGATGAACAGTGCCTTCAGCGCCTTACTAATGCCCATCCGTTTGCGAGAGACAAAATACACATCGCGGGAGCAAAAGCACTCTAGTCCTTTTCTGTTCTGAGCACCAATCTACGTTTCTTCAGCAATTGTTCTAGATTCTAGTAAGCTTCATGCCCAGCTACACTACTTCTGGTACCTGGAGTTTCACGCTAGCTGTAACGCGCAGCACTAGAAAATGGCTGAGGAATGAGCTTTCGGGCCACATAATTCAGCTGTGGATTGCCAGGATGAGTTAAGGTCATATACACACAGAAATATTTACTCATAGACACGCAGTGCTTGGTGTTCTCTATAAGACGTCTCAGGGTTTGTACCTGAGACGATGGAAGTGGTCCACCCCAAGCTCACGCTGCGAGGGACAAACATTGGAAGGAGACAGATGTATCCCTACAAACGGGGAGCTACAATGCTTTTGGTTACGCCCTCCTCAGTGTTTAAAATCGCCTGTAGTAAGTAGCGACAGGTATGAACAAAAGGTGCCTGAACTGGAAAGACACGTGGGGGACAATGCGGTGCGTAGCACTACAACGTCGCACAAGCACAACCCCATAAGGTTGCAATATTTACAATTCTACACACCAAGTATCGTTAGAAAATCTATAGCTAGGGAAACCTAGCTGTTGTAGCACGGGTGTTTGCCTGGAAGGCTGAGGAGTTGGGCTCCCTGTGTCGCCGGTGCAGTGTGCAAGACACCTAAGGCTTTGCAGAGGCCACAGAAAAAATTGATTTGATTCTTTTGATTATTAAGGGTTTGTTTGGCTCCTTGACCCCATTTCGGTCTGAAAGTATTGAAGTAGTGAGGCGAGGGACTACAGCCAGCGGGCAGTGGCGAAACGGTGAGTCCAGAGCTGTGAGACACGTAGAGGCAGCTTAAAAAATACCGACAAAAGATACGGGCCTCGGGAAAATTAAGAAGTAGACTGAGGGCAAATGACTCAGAATCTATGGCCCACCGTTGAAATAAAGGACTACCGAGCTGCCGTTAATTCGAAGTGAGGAAGAAGTGGGCAGCTAGAGCGAGAGCAAAACCCAAGTATAAGGCTGAAAGAGCGTATACAACGGCATGAAAAGAGACCAAGACTGCAGAGCTTTAAGTTAAAGTAGAGGAGATCCTGCGCTGCTTGCGACCGTCCAGCATTGCTTTCGATTTTGGGGAACCAGCAGTCGCGGAAACTGCCAGTCCTGTGCAGGGTGGCAATTGGCTCCCAGGTGATCAATTTTACTTTCCCCTTTGCAGCTCACCGTATTCTGACACTACGGTACTGCGGAAACAACTGTTTTGCCACATCAGAAACGAACACATGCGCGGGACGGCTGCACTCACAGCGTACGGTAGTGATGTAACCACCATACGGAGAACGTCTGTGAGCGTCTATGGCATTTAAACTTACCAAGCACTGGCATTTTTCCAATATCTGAGTGAAACGCTCCTATGTGGCTCAGAAGATGTGAAAAGACTGGACTGTACAGGCTTAGAGCCGTTGTCATGCAAACGTAGTCGAATGCCAAGTAGAGGAGTAATGACACGACCTTTTTAAGCTTTTTCCTTCAGCAGTCCTACAACTCAGACTTCATTATGGTTATTTAGTTTGGCCTTGACGCCCAGATCGCAAACACTTTACTTGCGTCATCCCGTCTCTATCCTATCCTGTGAAGCTTACTGCTATCCAGCACACACACACGAAGATAAAATCTTGGAAGTATGCAGAATACTACTAAAAAATTGGAGAAAAGGCCTTGGTACACTCATTTTTTGCCGTTTGACTTCGCGAAAGCATCTGAGTGTCTCATGCGCACTACGAAGCATGATCGGAGCACTCCAAAGTTGGAATAGTTTATTTTACATGTTATTACAGCATTAGAATTAGTTCGTGAAGGTGACGGAGAATATAACCTCCGACGAATACGTAGTGGCACTCGATTACACGGCTCCCAGCGGCTGCAGCAGTGGCTCACCGGGCAGCAGCCCTAATCCTAGGGATGAACAACGCCAAATGCTCTCGAGTATTGGCTCCCTCTACTAGCGCGGCACCTTATTAAGCGTTGTATGGGCATCTCCCGACTTGGTTGTCAGTGGGTTCCTGGATATATGGGGTGCGCTGCGACGGAACGTCGGCAATGCTATTCAGTAGTGACTGAGCTCGCGTATTCCAATAGATTAAACTTTGGATCGCTGCGAGGATGCTACTGAGGAGTTGTGCTTCTATGCTGTAACGGCCCTTGTCCTCTGGAGAGGGGTATTTCCAGTATGTCTTTTCGCGACAGCATCGCTCGAGAACCGCCAGATCGCTCAGACCACCCCATCAGCACGGCCCTAAACTCGTCTAAAGCTTCCCCACCCATACCAGCAATTTCGCATCGGCATCCTGGCAGAAGCTGCCCGAGACCGCACAGTCCTGTATCGAGCATTGGAATATTGCACCAGGAATGCTCTACGGCAAGTGTTGCCCCCGGTGACTGTCCTGCTTCAGACGGCTGGGGCTGGGACCATGGAGAGGCTGCTGGATCCCAAAGACTGCCAGTAGGCAGCCGCGTAACGCAGCAAGACGCCCGAAGTGACGCTGCAGTTGCTCTTAGCGGAGGCCCGACGCTGCATTCATCAGTTCTCAGTGCCTCTGGGAGGAGCGTAGAGGGAATTCGTGGTAGATTAAGTAGTCGCATAGCATACCCATCAGCGCCCATCACTTTCACAAAGTCCTTCGGGTCGAAGGTACAGTGGGGAGCCTACACCCGCAGAGCTCACGGGTACCTAGACGCGGAAGCCGTGCACGCTGCAGCTGCAGCTGATGAACGCCTTTCCCGCAGCGAATGCCTGCGCCAAATAGGAGCTACCCAGACACCTGACACTGCATCTAGTGGTCGAGCGATGGAAGGTGGCAGTTCTGGCGTAAAGCGAGAGACTAGTTGGGGCCCAGAAGTCCAGGAATCGAATTCCGCAGGGGTACATATGGACCCCACGTCAGGTACCAGCAGGCGCACGCCTGGGGTCGGAATGGCTTCCTTTCGCTTCGCGCCAATGGTAGCTACCCGTCAAACGACGAAGTCGGCGGCTGCTGGCATGGAAGACACAAGTGGTAGTGTAGATCTGGCAACAGGCCTGCCTCATGTGCAAAGCACGAGGACCCCTGGTCGGGCATTTCTGGGCTCCTGGATATTCAAAGGTTCTGACGCTTCAACGGAGCTCGAGCGAATCCTGAAGGTGGAAAGCGATATAGCGGAGACTGCCGATGCCCGCACCGAACTAGCGGCCACCAGATTACTGCAAGAGGATATGGAGGCGATGATAACAAACTTGCAACAGGTACTTCCCCACCAATGATTACTCCGTACCCTTCATGTAGTTTACTGTCTATTTCGTCGAAATAGACGGTAAGCCTGTCAAGTAGAAAACTAGGCGTGAGTGAAGGCTTTACCTGCCTCTCGTTTTTAGGTGAAGACTTTTCTCGTGGCGAAGCTTCGAGAATGCGAAACGGCATTGTTGACGACGGCTCAGGAGAGAGATGACTTGGAGGCAACGCTGCAGCAGATCCAAAGCGGTATTCAAGACAGCGTTGCAGAACACCGCCACCATGTGGAGGAGTACAAAACGAAGGTCACTGCGAAAGAGGTGACACTATTTTTTCTGCAGATTATGGCATGAGCTTGAAGCGTATCCATGCGGCATTTTGTGACATCATTATGAGCAAATCTTCCATGAATCGGCGTGCGAGCACTGAATTCCCGTCGTGTGTTCTATGCGGCCACAGCGAGAACTGGAGGAGCTGCGGATGCAGCTAGAAAAGGTAACTAAGGAAGCAGCGACTCTCAAGAAGGAAAATGAGGCGCTTAAAGGAGAAGTCAACGTAGCCCGAGTTGAGGCAGCAGTGAGTCGGCAACGCAGCTCGACGGTGTCCCTTTGTATCCTTAGCTGCTTAGGTTCACCTTCTAGCGCGGCTAGAGTGATCTGTGACCGATTAGTTTGGCATCAAAATGTTTCCCTGTGTTCTTTTTGTGGCTTACGGGTGCTTACTTAGGACGTGGCGGCCGCGGGGGGTTTTCGCATTGAAGAGTATCAAACGGCTCTCCAGATTCTTATAGAACGAAACAAAGTTAGCAAAACTGCTCCCTTTTGCTGCGTTTCGCAGTGCAGTTGAGTAGAAGAGTGGTTGCGCACAGTAGTCACTCCATGGAGGAGTAGTTCGCTTTCTGTTCTTCACGTTGTGTCGACGAATCCCATTTAGTCAAGTATGACCGTATAAGCGACGCAAAAGACTTGTGTTGCAGTGTAGCTTAACGTTGTCAACTGCATGGTTGCAGGTACAGCACCGCGAGCTGAAGCGGCTCCGGGTGCAGCTTATCAAAACTCGGGAGAATTACGCGAGCGCCCTTGCAAGAGTAGACGAACTGGAGAGCTTAGAGGCCTTCAGGAAAAATTTGGATGAGCACGAGGCAAGCGCTTCCCCACGGAGTAATTCCCCCCCGAGAGGTCATGAAAAGTGCCCTCAGGCTAGCACCGGTGTCCTGCAGGCTGCCCAGAACAGGAATGGCACGCCGTCAGATAAGCCGCTCTTCTCCACAAGCAAACAGAGTCAAGTTGACCCATCGGATGCTGGCTTAAGGAAAGGGGCACGCAGCTTTGGCAAAGGGTCTGCTCCGTTCTGTGACGGGAGTAGCCCCAGGAATACAGCAGAGAGTCCGCAAAGCTGTGAAGAAGCGACCACTGCTCATGTGGAGGAGGCTGGGACCACCACCAGAAAGAGGCTGGGACGGAGCGTCACGGGCTTGCTGGCATCAGGCGTCTCGCGAGTGCTGCAACACCTGGAGCAGGCTATGTCAACAGATAGAGAGCCTTCTGAGGCGATTTCAGACCACGATTCACAAGATAGTGCCGATACACCTGAAGGCGACAGTCGACGGCTACACGAAGAAGCCACTTTGTATTTGCAACGTGCGAACGAGGAAAACGATCTCATAATTCAGCTTGAAGACGGAAGGGCAGAGCTCTATGAGGAGGAGGGATCTGAGTACGACGGAGGAGAGGCAAGCACTCTAGGCAGCGTCGCACGAAGTGTATGGCAGGCAGCCCATGAGCTGTTCGCGGACCGTGCGCTGCCACCAGCCCGTCTATCCACCCTGCGCACCGTCGCATCCTCAAATCCGTCAGCTTGGGAAGTCCTTCGGGAGCGTCACCGCGCGGCTCAGTCGATGCCGTTGTTCAGCAGTATTCCTCCCGCAGCCTACCCTATGATAGCAAACGACAAGAGAAAGCGCGAAGGCCTTTCGTCCACAGAACGCGCTGGGCGCTCAAGTCTGTCTGCTGCACGTTCGCGGCGGAAGGGCACCGGCAGCGCGGCGTCGTCAGCTTTTGCGGGGGCTCTCAACCTCCGCCCCTCGAAAGGAACCGGACGTGGTCATCGAGAGTCGGCGCCAAGAGGCACCCTCACCGTAGAGTTGCATTCAGAGTTGTCTGCGTGCGTATCAGACGCTCGCAGTGATTCGGCAGAGGCCCAAGCACGGTCGTCAGATGTGGACGGTGCTACTCACGGCGCAGTCACTGCTACTACTGCACACCCCACGGAGGCAACACACACGAATGTCCCCGCAGTAGCAGTGGTAAACAGTCCAAATGCGCAAGCACGAAGCCGCCCACTCGAGCCAAGTGAACATGGAGAGGGTTGCTTTGACCCTGATACCGCAGGGACGAAAACAAGAGAGGCAGCAATGGGAACCTCAGATGCTGCAGCGGAGCCTAATGTTGGTACTACATGAACCAAAAACTGTAGAAACCTCCACCACTAGTCTTTAACGCGCCGGAAAATAACTAACAGTGATGGCGAGCCCCTTAAGACACTGGCGAGCCGCGTCGTGCTCCACTGTAATGTAGACTCAGCATGGTCCAAGGTGTACTGACAGAACAGCGAGCGAATTGGAATCCAGCTTGTCCTATGCGTACCTAATGTGGCCTGTGTAGCCATGTGAAGCCAAGCTTGCTCGGTTCTGCAGGAATCCCCTGCTAACTATGTAGCGCTGGCAAAAAGTGCCGCACTCTCAGCGCACTCTCCGGCCGGCCGCCGGTGATTCCTACCATTCAAGATAATAGGCTTCGTGACAGAGTAAATGTCTATCGTAGCAGCTCCGGCAGAGTAGTTCGAGTGCATAGTACGTAAAATGACAAGTACTGACCCAGCAACCCAGCAAGTATGCGTTGAGAGACTCCGTGGGTGAAGAGGCAGAACTGCTCTCTACATAGCCTAGCAAGTCACATGCGTGCTTTGAGTACACGGTTGCACGCACTGTGATTCTCTCTTATTCTATTGGAGTTGCAGCTGTCGGTCGCCTTCTTTCCCTACAAAGCGCTAACTACTGCATATCCTCCGTCCAGCAACGGGAGAACCGAAATTTGGGCTCCACGCAAACAACGCAATCGGGTGGGAGGGGCTCCTGCCTGCTCTTTTAGTGGGGTCTTGCGGCCGGCTCAACAGTCGATCCCCTCCGCGAGATGGTTTTGGTGAGCTGGGGTTTTGACGGTGGCTGAGCCTTAAAAGCTGCGTCTACAACGTAGCCCGTGGATGCACACAGGTCCGCAGCTCCAAATGCAAGTGCTGCTCTAATACGTACATCACAGGTCGGTTCCGCAGCAACAAATGCACGCTGCTGCTCTCAAAAAGCTTCAGCTTGACTGATTCAATGGATTTTCGGGAGCCTTCTTCCACTGCATAAATACAAATCAGACCAAAAAGCAATCACAATGCGGTAGAGTGAGCCTTCCATCATGAAGAGCAATGCAGCACAAACACACAGCAATGCCGCGTAGCAGGCAGCATGAAATGTACCTGCTTCGAAAGCAGCTCTAAAAGCTGTGACCGTTTCAGCGTTGGGTTCTCAGCCTTAAGGCGAGGCAGCATCTGCTCTTCGTACGCGCGGTAGGCCTAATTGTCGCATAGACGCAAAGGCACACGGAAAAACCGACGTACAACCAAACGCGCACACAACAAAGTAGCGAAGACCAGCTACAGCTGCAGCACGACAGAAACAACAAAAAGTCTACGGCAATAGGCTCACACGTGCTAAATGTGCAAAGTGCTCCAATGAAAAGGGTAAGGTGCAATGTCTCACCGCCTTCATTCGGCGCTCTGGATGTCTGTCCTCACCGCCGGCTTCCGACAAAGCCAGTTGGCTAAGAGCATCGTCTAAGTTTGAAGCTGCACCATACACCAATCACAAAAGGTTGCCAAAGCTGAATTGTAATATCCTGTACACAGCCAAAAGATAGGTGATGAAGCCGTGATGGAACTAATGATGAAGCCCAGATATCACATCTGTGTTGGGGCGCTCAGAGAAAGAAACAGCCCTCACCCGAAACAATATTCTTGCCCTCCAACTGTGCCTGTAGAGATTCCGCCCTCATTACGTGGTTTATATTCGGCTCAAGACGCAGCACTGAACCCTCATCCTGAGTCATATCAACATGAAAACTTCGTACGCATTACTCATTCCCAAGAACATGCAACGCAGAGAACGCTACGTCGCCAACAAATTCCCTTTCCAGAAGTGTATCCGTACATAACAAGCCTACCGACGGTGAAGATGCCTCTTTCTCCATTGCTGCAGCTCTTAGTTGCCGCTGCAAGATTTGAGCCCTCGTCAGCTTTGTAGGGGACTGATTCTGAGAAGGACGAAACAGCACATGCAGCAGCAAATGCTGCACCATGTGCCGTGCGTACACCTTATCCCTCCCGTCTTCCAACTTCTTAAACTCAGCCCTACCTTCTTCGTCGAATTTCCTGCCAACGTCTGCATCTCCTCATCCGCCAATTTGCGAAGCTCCATCTTTCGCTGCATTTTTTCTTCAGCCTTAGCCTGACTCTCTGCCTGTAAGGCAAAGCAAACAGCATGTGTCACTATTTGCATGACCCCACCCAAATAACACGATTCATGTCCTTGCATCACGTTGCCCTTCGGTGCGTCGCATCGGCGTCCTTCATCGTTTGAATCATGGAGAGCGTTTACCAGTACCTACTGACCTTCCTCTCTAGCTTTCGCGAAACAAGTTTATCATTGTCTTCCCATCTCTTTCGTTCAGCTTCTTGTTCTGCTGCTGCTGCCTTTGCAGCAGCTGCTGCTGCTTTACGTTCCCGTGCCTCTACGGCGCGTTGATTAACACGGACTGGCATTTTATCTGCCGTAAAAGTTCCAGTAGATTGACTGATAGAAGCGGGATTTCATACCACTCTAAAATCCCTCCTAGTCGGCCCAAATTGCTCACCGCACAGTGCAACACACGATGACCCCGCTGTGGTGATGTGCATGCTATGGCAGCTGGCAGATGGGAGTAGCTACTGGAATCGCTTCCGTTGAAAGTGGGAGAGACGCCGTGCACCAATGTCAGGTGAGTTCCGCGGAGTGCTCATATGTATTCACAGTCCTCACTGAGAAGCCGTAATGACATTGTGTTCTAGATGTCCATACGAAGTTTCCACTGGCTAGGCGCCAACCTTGATTTCGAGCCAGGTTAGGACTGTGTCAACCTGTCTGCCTCGTTTGCGGCAATGCCTGGTTGACGTGTAAGACAGCAGTGGTTAGCAATGAAGTGAGCAAAACTTCATGAGAGCAGGCAACACCTGCCAATTGCCCGAATGGGCAATGTGGTGCCAACATTAAAGCGGGACCCCCACAATTCAAAACAATATATGCTTAGAAAGCATATTGGCAAGTTGGCGGCAAGCCAGGAAGCCGAAAATCGGGGAAAAGTGAAGGGGGAAAATTTTGATCCGCACTGAGTTAAAGTATCCAGTCCCACAGCGAGTTCACGGCGAGCTTTTGCGGCCTGGATGCACTAAAAAGGAGGAAACACGGATTTAAAACAATACATTTGTGATAAAGCTACTCTCGCGTGGCTAATTTGAGCCTTTGTTTAGTCTGCTTAAACTGAAGAAAAGCAAGCATAGGGTGGGGACGAATTGAAACGGGGCTGGCAGCGGCCGTACTCTGAATGAGGCAAGTAGTTTATTGTTCGCTTTCCTAATCATAAAGATGTATTTTGTAATAATAATTTGCACTGTCAGTAGGGAGTGAATGGCAATGCGGGCCCAGACAATGAGCGAGAACGTAAGGTGCCTCAGTGTAATGTGGGAACAGGGTACAGGTACGCCACCTTCAAACACGACCGCTGCGGCCTTTAGCTTCTGCTTTAGCCCCGAGGAGTGAGAACTTTCCCCTTGAAACTAGCCGCCTTTACATTTTTGCTCTCCTCAGTAGGTCACAATTCTGGTTACACTTTGCGGGGAAACGAACTTCGCAGTCATCAAATAATCTGCACTGCTGCCCTGCTCAGAGGCATTAGGCAAAGCCATGGGCCCCACGGCCAACGAAGAACTGAGTACTCGCCACGGGGCTCAGTACGGAGGAGGAGACGCTTCCGGCTCCAAATGCCTCTCCTTTGGTTTCTCTCGTAGGCCCCACAGGGCAGAGAGGAAGTGGCTCTTTAAACGAAACCATAGAGAAACTTGGCCAAGAGTGGCGCCCTTTCGCACCATGGAAAATTGCTGCACAGTAGCCAACCCACAGGAAAAGTATACAAGGCACTGCAGCTTTGCAGCTCAGGGGCACCTTGCATGGTGCGCCCACGTCCAAAATCATAGCACCACCTGCTTGAGAAAAAGATAAGGCACTCTCGATTTCATCTGCAAGGTGGAATCTGGCAGGTCCGCAGGCCCACACTCTCTTAATTGCTGCAGGCTATTCCAAAAGAAACTGGAGCAGTCCAAGACTTCGAAAACGACGAAAGGTTTAAAGGAACAGAGGATGGCGCAACCTGTCGCCAAAATGTATTGCTACGGTAGAGGACCCTTGTGTAGGGATAGCCCACTACGAGGACAAGCCAATGCACTGGACGCGTTAACAACGGGCTTCAACTATAATTTCGTTAAGCTCTTCTTCGTTTACTTGACCCCACAACTAGTAAAGTGCTACGTGGTAACATGCTTTTGACGCAAGTCACTCCTCCTGTAGTCCTCTCGGGCGATTGACTGTTGACATTTTGAAAAGGTACGGACTCATTCAATGAATAGGAGCCCGCCGCACTCTAGCGCCTACCTTAGCAAATATCAGCAGCTAAGCAGGGCGCCTCATTCATCTTGACACTGTCTACGCTCAAGGCTTCCTGAGAATTTGTTTGCCGGAGAAAACACAAAAATGGGCTTTTGGTTACGTCAGCTTGCGTGTGTTTCGGGACATAATGCCGTTGTAGGGTATGCGCCTCCAACCGCCGATAATAGAATTAACGTTACAGCCATCAACAGTCTCGACGCAAAGGTGCGAAGACACGATTCTCCACACATTTTAGGCACGTGAGAAAAAACGTGCCCTTCATCGTGACGACACTTAGAACGAGCTGAGCCCGGATTGGCAAAGGCGTTACCTGTCCTCCCACCGACAGCATCTTGGCAACGTCACTACGCGATCTATGTGCGTCTTTGGGGGATGAATCATTATTGTTAACCAGCAGAAAGGTGCCCAGGCAGCAGAGGAGCTGGTGAGTAGCAATTTTATCAGCTGCCTGCCCACAAATCCGATTGATTCACAGGTGGGGGCCCCACATAGTATAGTTGCGACATATTTGCGACACTAGAAAATTGGCATATATCCCACTAGCCGGTGAAGGAAGCAGCAGTACCTCAATTAGGGCTAATAGTGCGATAAAAGTGGCATAATGCAAGAGAGGCATGCTCTGGTAGAAGTCGCATCAGCATAGAAGCCCATTGGTAAATGTGTGGGAACCGGCAGGCCGTACTCCACAGACGCGTGACACAGCGTTGAAGAGCTCCTTCGTGCGATAAAGAGGTGATTCTCCAGCGTAGAGGGGCTGACAACAGACATCATACTGTCATCGCGCATACACAAGAGATAGCACGCTATTACGCATAGTTTCCTCAGTCGTGGTGTAGCTGTGGAGCGTTGGCCGTTCGGGCGTTCAAGGCAGTTACAGAAACTGTGCCAAAGGGCTGCTCCAGAGACTGAGCCAGTTGGTTCTTCCCAACATTGCTGTTTGCGTTGTTGGCCATCTGCGCTTATGTTGTGACGCACTGTGGGAACTAACACTTTTGGAGGTGGATGCCTGTCATTACAAGACGCACGGAAAGGGACAGCCAATTGCGTCGCGAGCATTTTCCGCGATATGGTCGGTACTCACGAAAGCTTGCAACTAAAACGTGCAAAGAGCTGCACAGTCTGAGCCTCAGTTGGCGCTTTTCCGCATAGCTCTTCATGAACTTGCACTGCATTGTGCATGTCCCATGGACTCAGGATTCGGTTTGCATGAGGAAGAAAATCTACTCTAACGGAATATTTTTGTTTGTACAAAATTAAGGCTTTGAACATGTAAGGTTTTGAATACGGCCGCCAATTAACAGCATCGTTTAGATCGCAGCTTGTTGCTTCTCCTCATATGAATGTGAAAGAGGCTTTGTAATGCAACAGATTCTTGATACAAATAGAAGCAACGTGCTAAGCACATAATGTGGCCACCGGACCTGGCTTCGGTCATGACGCCATTGCTAAAAAAAGGAATGATGCGACGAAGTTGAAGCAAGCAACAGAATATGATCATCTGGAAACACTAGCGTATATTATTGAATCGCAAGACGCGGCAAACATGAAGTTGCTCAGAATATGTGGAGCTTTGCTCAAAATGGGTCACTGGTGTATGTAAGCGGTAGGTGTCTGGCATGAAATTTGACTGCGTGTGCATTTTCTGTTTAGCAGTTACTCTGAGCAGCATTTTATCCAGCGATAGACGGTTATTGCCGCTATGCTTTGACTTAGAATGGCAGAAATAATTGGTCCAAAGGCTGCTCATCAACTGCGCGCGTTCCACTTGCGTGGTAGCAGGTGCTTCAATGCCTTCAGCATTTACGCATGTGCAGCAGTATGACGACTTCAAGCACCCCAGCAGGAAACTAAGCCGTATAAGCGTTTCCCCCATGTCCCGGTTTCTGCTGCACCGGGCCAACACTGATTGACTTCCAGTGCATCTGCCCCTGTTTCCTTGAATTCGAACCAGCTTGAAGCCAGGAGGTTCACTATCACTGCACCGAGCCCATCATGGGGTACATTTCAACGCCTGTTCATTTTGTGTGAGTAACTGAAACTCATTCGATGAAACGCCGCCTTACAAAGTCGAATGTGGCTTCGCGAGGTGCCTCTCACCGAGAATGATCCCAGGCATTTGCACTGCACTGTAAAAGTTGTGGATTCTATTGTTTCTCCGTTATTGATTTAAATTTGTCAAGACAGATTAGCCGATGTGTTTCATTCGAGGGCTATTGTTTCCCGCCCATCCTAGTCATGCATGCTCCTAAGCTTCCAACTGTTCCTGGATTCCTCTGTGCAGGTGGCGGCATTTTTCCGGTAGAACTAAAACTCCTTCGCACGCTATTATTAACATGCCATGCTCTTCAAAAGTCCAAGGTAAAAGCCGCACTTGTCTCCCGAGCACCACATACCGAACACCCGAAACACTGCCTTTTGAGATGGGACCGTACATTGCTCAGTCATTGTTTAACTCTATTAAACGATTGCGTAATGACACCAGAAGAAAACCTGTGTGGCTATCCATGATAGAAGTATGACACTTGAAGACCTATGTCTTGCATTCGCACCTTAGGAAAAACGGTTCAGGGTTGACTGCAAAAACAATTATGGCGTGACGTCGAGGGTTAGTTGAGCAGTTTGGGTCTCAGGCTTTACCAATCATGCACAAGGGCTCAGAATGTTACACTCTTAACAAATAATGCCAAAAAAAGTGGAAACCGTTGCGTCTGAGGCTCGGGGCGCAGTGCCCACCCACAAAAGGAAAGCCACCAGTGAGCTACCTACTTGATATTGCAAGAAACTCACTTGAATTGAGTGCGTAATCGCAAACCTGTTGCTCGTTTGCATCCGTGAATGCTGATAATTTAGGCACATATTTGCCTTACAGTGACTGCGCAATACTACCAAAATAGCATGGCTGAAACAAGGAATCAAAGAAAAGATCTTCTTTATAATGAGTTAGTGTGAATTGGACAAACATGCACCTGTTTGCAAGACTAATAGAATTACTTTTCTTGGTTCCAAGAAGACCGGGAATGCCCCGAAAAAGCAACGAGCTAGGCAAAAAGATAGAAAGTGGAGTCCTAGCTCAGGAGAAGCCGTTACTCTCTGCGTTTCATAGCACACCGAATGGCTACATGATTCTTCGTATAAAGCCCACCGCAAATTGAAAAATGATGCCCCCCGATAGTGCCACATTGACTGATCACCCAAAACCTCGTCAATATTCCTTGCCATTGTGAGAAAAGTTGAGGGGGATTCGGGTGGTGACGTTGTGCTAGCTTTAAGAGACGCGGAGCTTCGCTGAGGCACAGCAGGCTCCCTCAGTCTCCAATGTGCTCACGTATCGTGTACTGCCGTTGTCAGTAACCAGTGCATCACACTACACCAGCAGCAAGAATAAGCATCCGTGCATAAAGCTATTGATCTCTCTTCGTAAGATACGGAATAGCAGCACTCAGTGTTAAAGCAGTAGCAGCTACTTAATTATTGCTGTGCGTGGAGCAAGCAGCTCTAGGGCATTCATAAAAAACGGCTGCATGTGCTGGCAAACCAGAAATGCCGTATAGTGCTAGACCACCAGCGTCCAGTTAGGTCACAGCGCTGTTGCTTCAAGTTCAGTGACCGTTGTCCATCTACGATGTCCCAACAAATTGGCCAACTAATACTTTCAAGCGTTGCAATAGCGGCTTTCTGCAACAGATTTCTCAGCAAACTACCAGCTACCTGCAGGTGAAACGTGGGCGAACTGCTGAAATGCCGGCTTGCGTGCGGTCGTTTCGCGGTAAGGATACCGTGAAACGATTGCATGAAAACCGATAAATCGGCACTGAGAGAGGGACAACACTAGTGAGCTTCCAGGTGGTTGCTGCCAGCCTGAACTGTAAAAACGAAGGAGCAGTCAACACATTCTCGCGTACGCAGTGAGTCAACAAGCGACCTGAACTACCAAGTTGTTTCTACAAGAGGGGAAATGATAAGTTGGACGAATAGCGTCTTGTTGGGCTCATCGCTGCACTCGAAGAATCTGGCACCTCTTTGTTTCTTCGAGGCAACATCCAAAAGCCAAATACCATTTGCGGCAATTAAAAGAGATTACACCACTTGCTGATTGAACAGAACTGTGAATATACTAGGTTTACACAAGTTTGAGCGTACGGGACACCTTAAAGGAAACACTCCAAAAAATGACGACGTTAGGGCGGATATTCCCTACGGCCGGAAATGTCGACATGCTCCAAGAGTTACGCAGCCATAAGTGTTCAAGAAAATAGGAAACGCCGCGCCTGCTCACCTCCCTCTAGAGTGCGTTACGTCAGTTATGGGAAGCTGTAACTAGCATTACTGGATCCGACACGCGCTCTGTTAAAAGGAAGAACACGGCAACAAAGTCAACTTCAATACAAGGCCATTCAGCAGCTTCACACAAATCACTCGACTCTGCAATAAAACTTTCGGAAGGAAATCAACGTACGACACACACATAGGCTAGAAGAAACCGAACCACGACACTGACGTGGCACCACTCCTTACGCCAGCATCTTCCTCGGCGACCTGATCCGGGACTGAAGCAGAATTAGGAACCACGTCAAACATGTTCTTCGCATCGGCGCCTTCTGCTGCCTTCGCCTCTGACTCGCCCTCCCCTGCCTTCAAACCCGCTTCAGCCGCCGCCTTCGCGCCAGCTTCCGCTGCCTTCTTAGGCAACACGCCCATCGACTTCTTCGTCAGCAACGCAGGCCCAGCACCCGCCTTCGACGACGCAACAGGTCCAGCCTTCGCATCGACCCCAGACACGCTCTTCGCATCGCCGCCTTCTGCTGCCTTCGCCTCTGACTCGCCCTCCCCTGCCTTCAAACCCGCTTCAGCCGCCGCCTTCGCGCCAGGTTCCGCTGCCTTCTTAGGCAACACGCCCATTGACTTCTTCAAAAGCAACGCAGGCCCAGCACCCGCCTTCGACGACGCAACAGGTCCAGCCTTCGCATCGGCGCCTTCTGCTGCCTTCGCCTCTGACTCGACCTCCCCTGCCTTCAAACCCGCTTCAGCCGCCGCCTTCGCGCCACCTTCCGCTGCCTTCTTAGGCAACACGCCCATTGATTCTTCGCAAGCAACGCAGGCCCA